TTGCCTGTCTTTCTCCTATGGAGCAGCTGGTGGATTTGAACCACATGCCTTTGCACTGCCAGTGCAACTTTTTACTACTATGCCTCTAGAGCTTACTGCTGGTCTTAGAGGGCTCAGAAGCAGAGATGGAGAGCCTGGGACACAGAGGCTACGTGAATGAGGGGCTAAGCAACCTGGGCTTCAGAAAAGGAGTTGGCAGCCAGTGTATGCTACAGCTCTCAGGTCTCACATTACCCCACTGCCTACCCTACTGTGCCTACTCTAGATTACTATACAGTTGGACGTGGTCCTGGTAGGGGACTTGAGCAGAAGGAAATAACAACAGCAACCTCCACCCAGCCCACATGCTTTCTCTTAAGTCCCTCCAGCCACTTGCCTTCTCAGAAACTGTTATTAGGTGCCATTGAGTTGTGTATGACTCGTAACAGCTTTGAGAACAACAGATCTGAACTCTGTCCTATCCAATGCCATCTTTATCATCTGTAACACACTTTACTGCTTCTGAAAACCTACTGAAAGATCAGCAGTGAGTCAGTTCTGACTAAATGTTTCGTAACAACAACAAATCTCGAAGGGAGCAGATGGTCTCATCGAATTTCTCCTGTGGGTGATGGATTTGAAGATCTGACCTTTAGCATTCCACTCATCCTTCCTTAAGGATGTTGTTGTTGTGTACTGTCTAGTCAGAACTGACCCATAGCTGACCCTCCAGTGGGTTTTCAGAAGCAGTTACTCACACAGGTGGAGAGTGCCCATCCTCCCACAGAGCAGCTGGTGGATTCGAAACGCGTGCCTTCTGGACTGCAGTGCAGCTTCTTACCACAAGGCCACTAGAGCTCCAACATGTAATCCCTCTCCAGAGTACTGAAGCACAACGATGTCTGTCTGGACAGTGAGGTGCTCCTGATCCAGACCTTGATCTTCTCAGTCACTTGCTATGCATCAGAAAACTGGACAGTGACTAGGGATGGCAGAAGAATTGCTGCCTTTGAGCTGTGGTGTTGGAGAAGAGTGTTGAATATACGTGGACAGGTGAAAAAACAAACAGGTTCATCCTGGCAAGAGTAAAACCAGGCTGCTCCTTGGAGGCAAGACTTCTGAAGTTCTGTCTGATGTGCTTTGGGCATGTTGCAAGGAGGAACCAGTCCTTGGAGAGGGACGTCATGCTTGGGAGTGTGGAGGGACAGTGCAGGAGAGGAAGACCCTGGATGAGAGGGATTAACGCAGTGACGGGGTAATAGGGATAGATGTGTCAGAGATGGTAAGGCTGGCTCAGGATAGATTGGGATTCAGAACTATTATTGTACATAGGGTTGGTGTGAGTCACAAGTGACTTGATGGCACATAACAACAATATGTCACTAGTCCTCCTTAAAGACGTTGTTGTCATGTGCTGTCGAGTTGCCTGAGACTCATAACGACTCTTTGTACAACAGCCCTAGACGCTGCTCTATCCTGTGCCGATCTCACTGTCTCCAACATACCCATCCCCCGTTACCCCAGACACTGAATCAGTCCACCTCATGCATGGTCTTCCTCTCCTGCACTGTCCCTCCACCCTCCCAAGCATGACGTCTTTCTCCAAGGATTCGTCCCTCCTTGCAGCATGTCCATAGTATGTCAGACAAAACTTCAGAAGCCTTGCCTACAAGGAGCAGCCTGGTTTAACCCTCTCTAGAATGAACCTGTTTGTTTTCCTAGCAGTCCATGGTTTATTCAGTACTCTTTTCAAGCACCAAAGCTCAAAGGCATCAGTACTCCTCCTGTCTTCTCTAGTCTTTGTCTAGCTCTCTGACGCAAATCAAGTGATAGGACAAGAAATATATAATTAAGAAATTAAGCACGTAAAGTGAGTTTTTTAATTTTCTTCCAATTTAGCTTTATTTCATTTTCTTTCAATACTTGACATAGCTTCATTTTTAAGTCGATGTGAAAAGCTGACCTATAAAATGCTTATAAATGTTGATTCTCAACTCCTAACGGCTAAAATTTTACAACTTAATCTGAATCAAATATCAGTACTTCTTTGAAATGATGTTGTATGTGGTGTATTTTTTTTAATTTTAGGAAGACTGATTGTGCTTCTTCAGGATGTTCGTTTTGAAGTTATTAATAATACTCACATTATCTGGACTTACAACCGGTGAGAGAGAGAATGTGTCTTACAGTCTTCTACCCAAGTTACTGCTGGTGTCTTTTGATGGCTTCAGAGCTGACTATCTACAGTACTATGAATTTCCCCATCTCCAGAATTTTATTAAAGAAGGTGTCTTGGTAGAACATGTTGAGAACGTTTTTATCACAAAAACATTCCCAAACCACTACAGTATTGTGACGGGCTTATATGAAGAGAGCCATGGCATTGTGGCTAACTCAATGTATGACGTAGTCACCAAGAAAAGATTTTCTGACTCTAATGACAAGGATCCTTTTTGGTGGAATGAGGCAGTCCCTATTTGGGTAACCAATCAACTCCAAGGAAACAGATCGAGTGCTGCTGCTATGTGGCCTGGTACGGATGTACTTATTCACAACACCACACCTTCCTATTTTATGAATTATAGCTATTTGGTGTCATTCGAAGAGAGACTAAATAATATTACTATGTGGCTGAACAATTCGGACCCACCAGTTACCTTTGCCACACTCTACTGGGAAGAACCAGATGCAAGCGGCCACAAATACGGACCTGAAGATAAAGAAAACATGAGAAGAGTGTTGAAAGAAATAGATGATCATATTGGTGACCTAGTCCATAAACTTAAAGTGTTAGGGTTGTGGGAAAATCTCAATGTGATCATCACAAGTGATCATGGGATGACCCAGTGTTCTAAGGAAAGGCTAATAGACCTGGATTCCTGCACCAATCGTACAAACTATGTGCTTGTAGATATGACACCGGTCGCTGCCGTACTTCCCAAAATAAGTAAGTAAGCTTTTAGCCTAAGGATGCTGTTACTTGAAAGGAGCAGTTAATCGAGGGTGGGAAGTTGTATGAAAGAATGAAGCTGTGGATTTTTGTTGTTCCGGACCACATAAAATTGAGATGATGTGTTTTTCCCATAGTTTACAAGTTTTAGGCAATCAGATTAAGATTTGGGTTCAAAATGATTACTTATTTGCATTTTTAAATATTTCATAAACTTAACACTTATGTTGTTGCTGGGTACGATTGAGTTGGAACCAAACCATAACTGACCCTCCAGTGGGTTTTCAGAGGCAGTTATAAGAACCAGAGGAGATTGCCTATCCTTCTCCTGCGAAGCAGCTGGTGAATTCGAACTGCATGCCTTTGAGTTCAAAGGGTAACATATCCTTTATAAATCTTCCTTATAGAAAGAAGGAAATACTTTTTCTTAAAAATGTAAGCTTGTCTTTTTGTCTACTGTTCTTAAAATAGACTAGTATCTCTTTGAAATCTTGGCATCGAAAAAATTTCTCCCTTTTTATTAATTTGACTAGGGATAATCTGAAAATTTTGTTTTAAAAAAGATGTAGGTGTATATGAATACATGTATGTGTGTCCAGGGAATGTAGATAAATTTGAAAAGGTGTGTGTGATGCGTATATAACCCATTTTTTAAATTTTTATTATTATTTTGTATGCGTGTACCGTCAAATCGGATCTGACTGGTACGGGAGGATATTGCTCCTCCTTCTCCGGCAGAGCATCTGGTGGATTCGAACCGTGTACCTCTGGGATTGCAGTGCAGCTTCTTGCCACTAGGCCACCAGAGCTCCCCTATACAACCCATTTTTATCACTGCCACCTGGTTATTATTTCTATTTCTTAAGAATTATAGGTGACTTTGTAGATTATCTTTCTTGTTATTCGGAGTTTGTTTTCCTTGTCAGCCAGCCATGGCCTGTGACTTTTTCCTCTTCAGGCACAGTGGAGCTTTATAACAAGCTAAATACCTGTCACCCTAATATGAAGGCTTATCTCAAGGAAGATATTCCCGCCAGATTTCACTACCAACATAATGATCGAATTCAGCCAATTATTTTGGTTGCAGATGAAGGCTGGACAATCGTACAAAATACAACATTAACAAAATGTAAGTATTCATTTCAGACTTCTGTTGTATCTTAGGAATAGATCGCCATTATGATACTGTGTTAACTCAGTATTTTGATTTAGAGATGCTTACATGATAAAGAAACCAGTTCTATTTTCAACTAGATAATTCTCAGGTGGAAATTTGATGGAAATTCATAATAGCTACAATTTCACTCTTAGATTAGAAGATTGGCTGACCATTAGTTAAGATGAAGTACAGTTTTACTTTCTTACCAAAATGGCAACTACTGTCAGTAACTCTCAGGATTGGTTTTCTTGAAGAGAAGGAGGATTGTTGTGACTGTCTTCAGTTTGTTCCCCAACATGTGGCACCTCCATGTACAAAGGGGTGAAGCAAAGTGATCCATAGCCGGTTTTTCACTGGCTGATTTTTGGAAGCAGATAACTAGGCCTTTCTTTCTACTCTTGCTTATTCTGGAAGTTTCACTGAAACCTGTTCAGCATGAAAGCAACCTGGAATCCTCCACCAACAGACAGATGTTGGCCACGCTTGAGGTGCCTTGCCAGAAATAACTGAAAAAAATTTTACCACAGACATACCACTGCTTTTAAAAGGAGCTTAACTAGTTAAAAATCTTCCATGTGCCTGTATGTGTGTGTAAAAAAAATTCTGTGCAGGAAGCTCCCAGTTATTCGTTGGTGATAAAGTTATTTACCTATATGCCACTACTATGTAGAACACTGGCAATACCAGAATTTAAACAAACAAAAATAAAATTGACAAGTTAACAAGATACACATAACAATAAAAACTTTCTTAAACCAAAGGTAATTTATAAAGGAGTTTTACAGGCCTTCTTTCATCTGGAACTAACTTAGCCTATCTTACATTCAATTACAATACTATTTAAAAAAAAAGTCTTTTTATAATCCCTGCCAGGGGCTAGGAAACTTTTCCTCTAAAGGACCACTTTACACTCTTCTATCAATTGGTCCCCGCCTCCACTACTCAACTATAACTATTCAAAAGCAGCCATCGACTACATGCATTTAAATTGGTACACCTGTGTTCCAGTGAGGGTTTATGAAAACAAGTGCTGGACTGAATTTGAGCCTTTTGCTATAGTGTGCAAATCAAGGTTTATAGCATCAAAACGATAACAAAAAGACCCTGTGCCCTTGAGTCAATTCTGATTTATTATTAGGTCAACGGGATTTATTTATTTATTATTACTTTATATACTTTATTATTATTGCAAATTTAGAAAATATAGGAGAGAGAACAAAAATTCTATTGCCACAAGACAAGGAGGTAAGCACATATGAATTGTTCATTTTCCCCCGATCATTTTTCTGTGAGACGTTGAGACGTACAGATATACACTTTGGGTTTGTTAATAGGAGGAGCCAGTTCTTGGAGAGAGAAATCATGTTTGATAAAGGGTCAGAAAAAGAGGAAGACCCTCAGTGAAGTTGACTGAAGGATGGCCACAGCAGTGAGCTCAGTATAGTAGTGACTGAAAATTGTGCACAGCCAGGCAGTATTTTGTTAGTTATAAAGTCACTATGAGTTGGAAACAGCTCAATGGTACCTAAGTGAGAGGGGTTAATGCACTTGCTCATATCTTATTGGAAGTGTCAGAATTGACCCTGCCTCCCTGATCTCCCTGAGGCCCATTCATAATGTCAGGAGGAAGTAGGAATCTATGGAAAGAATCCTTGTCTCCTGATTGTCTATCTAGCTACAGCCTCCACTATCTATCCGAACTGTCTGGCAGTCATCCTTGTCCACGCTCTCAGCCTTATGTAGCTGGTGATTGGACAAACAAATCATGCATAATAACAGAGCCCCAAATGCCAGAAAAGGTATGTTTCATTTAATTGTACCCCATATACCAGTTGCCCCCAAACTCAGCTTTTCTTCTGACTGTTGTTTAAATAAGAGCATGTTTACCTACTCACAGTCATAGATAATAAATTACTAACTACTGCGCTGAGTACCTTACTGTGTTACATGTCATTTCTCTAAACAGTAACAGTAACTCTTAAGAGGTTGGTTCTACAAGAGGGCTTATTTTGGGGGATGAAAAATTAGGCCTTCAGCTAGGTTGAGGCTTTGGTCCAAAAGGGCTCAGTTAACAAGAGGCAAAGCAAGTATTCAAATTCAGATGTGGCAGATTCTAGAAACTGAAAATACATGGCTACCATCTCTTCCAGTTCCAGCAGCCCACAGATCTGTTATCAGGTGTCATCAAGTAAGGTCCAACTCCTAGCACACCACTCCCACCCCACCCCCATGTCCAGTAGAATTAAACCCTGCCCAATCTTTCGGCATTTTCACAAGCTCTGCTGTTCCAGCCCCTTACCGTATTGATTCATTTCACTGGGTGTATTCCAATCTTTTGCTATCCCTCTACTTTTTCAACCATGATGTCCTTCATAGAAGCTGGCCTCCAGATAACATGCCAAAATTATATGAAATGAAGTCTCATCATCCTTGCCTCTAAGGAGCATTCTGGTTGCACTGTCAGTAAAGGATTGTAACATTATATAATCTCTTTTTCTTGTATTCGTTCACAGGAGCCATTGAGATAGGTTACAGATTCTTTCACAGATACAATTGAGATGGGTTGCCCACTTCTGCTTTCCCTGGTTATTCAGGACCCTGAGCCTTACTCACTGTTGCTATTATTGGCTTTACTCACAATTAACTCTTGCAAACAGTACGGAGATTGACAAATGAAGTTGAGGCTAGGGCCAAAAGATAAGAAGCACCTCAGGTTGATAAGTGGTGATAAATCCCCGAGGCCAGGAATGGTCAGGTACGTGAGGATAAAGACAAAGATGACAGAAGGGTAAGAGGGAAAGAAGAATGAGAAATATGGCCCAGTTGAACAAAAGAGAAATTTTCGTTTCTGATCCATCTAACTCAACTAAGCAAAATTTCAGTGAATGGGAATTCTACTGGCAAGAATCTAATCTGCTTGCTCTGTTTTTTGTTTTAGTTGCTGCCCAGTCTATTCCAATTCACTACAGTCTCGTGTGTTAGAGTAGAACTGCTCCATAGAATTTCTCTGACTGTTCTATTAAGAGAATTTTAGAATTTTAGGCCCTTCTGAGATACTGCTGGGTGGGATTGAACCACCAGTCTTTGGGTTAGTAACAAGACTCAGAGTGTTTTGCACCACTCACAAATGTGGACGTTAAACTATTGCTGTTAAATTACTTCCTTCTTGGAGCAAACCATAGTTCTCATCAGAGTATGACTATGCTTCCTTCATAGGGTTTGCAGTGATGGATTTTTCAATTTTTCAGAAATAGATCATCAGTCATTTCTTCCACAGCTCCTCTGGAAAGACTTGAACTATAAACTTTTTATTTAACAGCCTATTGTGTTAAGCTTATGTAACTCTCAAGAAATTAGCAGTAAGTTATAGTGTAACATACACGGTGACCTTGTTTACTAACATCATATATTTTTCCCCCTTTTCAGTAGGTGACCATGGTTACGATAATTCATTGCCTAGTATGCATCCATTTTTAGCTGCCCACGGTCCTGCATTTCACAAAGGCTACAAGCACAAAACAATTAACAGTGTGGATATTTATCCAATGATGTGCCACATCCTGGGATTAAAAGCACTTCCAAATAATGGAACATTTGGTCATACTAAGTGTTTGTTAGTTGACCAGTGGTGCGTTAGGCTCCCCGAAGTCATTGGAATTGTTATTGGTGCACTTTTGATATTAACAACTCTAACATGCCTAATAATAATCATGAAAAACAGACAACCGACAACACATCCATTTTCCCGGCTTCAGTTACAAGACGATGAAGATGCTCCTTCGAGTAACACATGCTGGAGATTTTAATAATTAGTCACATAACTAAAGATATCCTCAAAATGTGGTATTATGACTCAGAAAAGTTATTTTTAAAGACAAAGTTACCAAACATATTGGGGGTTCTGTTTGGTGTTTTTTTTCTTGTGTTTTGTTTTGGTGCATTAAGCAGTATAAACAACCCTGACCATAGTGAATATTGTAAGTAATAATTAGTCCTTATCATAATCTGTCTCTGTAACTAGAAATATCTTTTGAGAAAATGCTCTGTATGCTTTGGGATGCGTGTGTATTGTGTGATGAAGATGTGATACATCTTTAACTGAGACTGTACCAAAGGTTGATAGGGTGCGTTTCTAATAAATTTATATATTTGTAAATGAAAGAACAGAAATCCCTATGCTATTCTTAAATTTTGTATATCAAGGAAAAAATACTTCTTATATTTTTATATTTGCATTTATTAGAATTTGTAGTAGTCCAAGTAAACATTTGAAGTAGGATATTCTCTGTAATGGTTAATAAAACTGGATAACTGGGCAGAAAATACTTGGCCTAACAATTGTTTTAAGGAAAGCTATTAAAGACGATGTAATATAAAGCCTCATTCATCACTACTGTGTCTTTGTTAAGCTGTTGAATTCTTTAGGAGTTTTATCTTCTGAAGATAATTGCTAATGAAAAGTTCAGAATAGAGAAAAGTGCTGAAGAATTTAGTTTTGCATAAATGATCTGGTTGTGCGTGTGTGTGTGTGTGTGTGTGTGTGTGTGTGTTTTTGCCGGAACGCAGATGCCCTCAGAGTGACAGAATCAAGTCAAAGGTGAACAGGCTTGCAGGGCGCTTTCACATTCCCAGAACATGCAGATCTCAGGAAAGGTCATTTTTTTGTCCTTTATTTTGTATTTGTTTACTTTTTCCTCATTCACAAATTAAACTCAAATTTTAAGAAAACCATTCATTTTCTTGCCTGTTTTTAACTCTTGTGTTGTTTATTGCCATTTGAGTTAACATTGAGTGCTGTGAAGACTTTGCCTGGGTCTTATTGAGGAAGAGAGTCTTTTTCCCCTCACTTTTTAGGTATTAGAGCAGTTAAGAAATTGCAAACAGAATGTAATGTGGAACTTTTGGCTTTTTTGAACATTCTCATATTAAAGGAGCAGAATTAACTCATAGAAACTCTGTTAACATTTAGTAACTAGAGTGCTGCTTTTGCTTTTATTCTCCTGTCTGTATGTAGATCACAGAAATAGGATCTCAATCTTTAAACGTGCTTGTTTGCAAAGTTTTACTGGGAAAAATCCCTGTCCTTGCTAGGTGGTACCATCCAATAATTCAAATTCTTATGTAGAAACTGAGTTGTAGACATTATCCATTAGGAGAAAAATTGGGTTAAAGAATCTCTCAGGCCTTGAAAGACAAGCAGCTAGTCTTAATAGTGTGATCTTTACACTTTTAACAATATAAAATAATATATTAATAATAAAATCTGTTTTAGAGATACAACAATGGTGTATGTGTGTGGCATAGTGGCCTGTTGATTATATGTGACAGTGAAGAACCACAGCAGAGCCAGTGAATCACCTTTTCCCACCCTGTATAAGTAATCTGTGCAGTGTTGATCCTAGGACTTAATTGTATTAAGAACAGCATGATTAAAAAATGATAGAAAAGCAGTAGGACTTAATTTTCTTTCTTGGCAAATTGCATTTGGTTTGTCCCCGTTACAATTATTCTAAAGTTAAAATGTGATTTGAATGAAAGATTAGGAAAATTCCTTTATAATTTGATTTTCATTTTAAAAATTAAATTAATTGAACTGTCATGTTTAAAATTCTCCAGCCTCCACTTAGGGTAGTGGACATATGTGAAAGTATCTGAAGTAGTAAGAGGATATTTTATCCTTACTGAGTAAGTCGGCTGTTTGTAATGATGCCTGTTTTGGTGGCTGTGCTAGCATGATACGTGTTTATGAGTTTCAGATATCTGGTATCCAGCCTGTGAGTGGATTTTATAAAAAATGGGATAGGAAGACATGTCCTGTCAGTGTCTTAACCCTTTCAGCAAAAAAAATTTGCTTGTTTGTCTTTCATTCCGAAAAGATTATTTTAAATGAGATATATTGCTTATATATATGTGTTTGTGATAAGAAATGTGTTTTATCAATGTACACTATTGAAATACACACACACACACACACACACATACACACACACACATACACACACATATAAAACTTTGTGCTACTTCTTTGTATCTTTAAAAATGTATCCCCTGCTCTGAAAAAAAATCTTAGAGTAAAGCTAACCTTTTACATCAAGGTTTTTGTAGATATTTTAAAATAATGGATTTACACTCTATTGGGTTTTCTCGTTAGTAGAAAGTATTTGACTCCCAAACACATTCTGTTTCTGACAACAGTTAAAAATAATAGGAACGTTTTTGACTAAGCGGGGTTTGTTTCTGTTAGTTCAGTGGGTGACTGCTTTCAGAATTATAAGTGTATTATAGGGACAGATCTGCTACTGTTAATAAGTACAGATTCTTGTAGAATTAAATATATTTGAATATTCTTTACTACAGGCTTCTGAAATTGTACATTCTATTTGGTTTGGTATAAGTGTTTGAAGATCAAGGTTCCTGGAACAGTAAGGAGTTAAAAGTACATTTTATTTTAACTCTCTTTCCTATATCTACCAAGCTTTAAAGATGATTGCACTTAATTTTTTTATTTTGGAGGATTTTATTTTGTAAAGTGAAAAATGAAAGACAGACATTAAATGGAAAATGTGTATTTATTGTCACTTTTTGAAAATACCATATAAGTAAAATGTCCTAAGTGTGCTTCAAAGAAATTGATGTGTAGTGCCTTAAGTCAAAAGGAATGTACTTTGATTATGTTCATTTGGATACATAGTTAATGACTTTGCTTATAAATGAAATTTTTATGTGAATAAAGTAAAATCTACCAAAACATATTTATTGTAATTATTTTATGTATGTTAGTGTCTTTGATAGTTTTTCATTTAGGACATACTTACACAATGTTCATGCTCTGCTAGCATGCTGGCTTGACTGCATTCCAGCTGCACAGCCCACATAGGCATTGATTCATGGTGACTTTATGTGTAACAGAATGCAGCACTGTCCTCTGTCATCCTCACAATTGTTGCTGTGTTTGACCATTTTATTGTAACCACAGTGCCAGTTCTTCTCTTTGAGGAACTTCGCCTTTTGTTGTTGACCCTTAGCCAAGCTTGATTCCTTTTTTCAGACAGTGGTCCCTCCGACAGTATGTTCATATATGAGGCAAACTTTGCCCTTTTCGCATCTTTTTTTTTTTTTTTAAATTGTGAAAAACATGTATGAGGAACAAGGGGGTGAGGGTTGGGAGAAGAGTGAGGATGGGCAGGGATGAAATCACAGGGCTGCACAATTTGGTGGGTAAGGGGAGTAGGCAAAAGAAATGATAAAGATCCAGTGGGGACCAGAAGAGACAGGGTAATGGTGAGCATGGTCCAATGGTGATTAATTATATGTATTTTTTTGAAGCAAATAACTTGTCTTATTCACTTGTGGGCTTCTCATTTGGGAATGAGGTGTGGACTGTCTGGCTTCTTCAAGCTAAACAAGGGTGTTGGTGTGAAGCGGGAAGGGGAACCCACTCTGAACACCTTACTGGTGGTTCTGGGTTGAAGCTGCATGCCTTCTTGTCCAGTTAGAAGATATTTTCCTGACATTTACTGTCCTCTAGACTGCAAAGTGTTGACCAAGGTGGGTCCAGTGGGGAAGGCTGGCTGAACCCTGAGGCTCCGTCCTCCTTTGCTTCCTTAGCTGGCCGCCTTTTCACTTCTAAAGAACATATGGCTGTATGACTTTCAATGCAGATGAAGAGATTGGCAGCACTTTATTTTCACAGAAGTTTGCAGAAACATTCGGTTTTCATTCATTCATTGATGCACATTTTCTATCTTTCTCTCCTTTCCCCAATATACTTTGTAGTGTACTTTTTTCATTTATTAAAAAAATTATTTTCATTATTCATTTTTTTCAATAAATGTAGTGCATTTATTTCAGACAGTCCTTTCTTTCATCTGTTCCAATGTAGCATTCATTATCTATACACTCTTTTTCCTGTTATACCATCCACCACTCTTCACCCTGTGTCTATTCTATTTTATAACAGTGGTGTTAAACAGTATTTATCCTTTTGTGACTGAAGGATTTCAGCATGATGTGTTCCAGACTCATTACATCATTGTTTTTCATTGCTGTGTATGTGGTACTTCATTGTGTGAATGTAGCACCATTATTCTATCCATTCATTTGTTCATGGACAGTTGAGCTGCTTCCATCTCTTCACTGTTGTGAACAACGCAGCATTAAACATGGGTGTGCATACGTGTGTCACAGATCTGGTTTCTTGTGGTATATTCCCAATAGTGGGATAGCTGGGTCAAGTGGCATTTCTATTTCCAACTTTTTGAAAAAGCACCAGACTGTGTTCCATAGAGGTTGTACAATTTTATATTCCCACCAACAGTGAATGAGAGTTGCAATCTCTTCACATCTTTGCCAGTTATTGTTTTAAAATCTGGATTAAGTGTATTATATTTAACCAGCTTTGAAAAACAATATTTAAATATAAAATCCAACGAAGCACCTTCTTTGGAAACAAATCCAAGATAATTTTGTAGATCTTTCAGAACTTTTATTATTTATTGGCTTCAAGTACAGTTGTAGATCACAAAAAAGAAAAAAAAATAATAAATTGTGGCTAACCTTGAGAAGAATGGGAATCCCAGAACACCTGATTTTGCTCATGCAAAACATGTACTTGGATCAGGAGGCAATCCTTACAACAGCACAAAGGAACACTGTATGACTCAAAATCAAGAAAGGAGTGCATCAGGGATGTATCCTGTCTCCATACCTTTGCAATCTGTATGTGGAACAGATCATTCCAGAGGCTGGACACTGAAGAGGAATGTGACATCAGGATTGGAGGAAGACTCATTAGCGACCTATGTTA